TTATTTTTTGACAGACAGAGACAGTGAGGGAGGGGACACAACCAAGGGGAGTGGGAGAGGGAGAAGCAGGCTTCCCGCTGAGCTGGGAGCCCGACACCAGGCTCGATCCCAGGACCCTGGGATCATGAACTGAGCCGAAAGCAGACGCTTAACAACTGAGCCACCCAGGCGCCCCTAAATGTGTCCTTTAAAAAGCATAGTTTTACATTCTGCTGTGGAATGTCAAGTGGATGGAGGGATGGTGGCATGACTCCAGTTAGGTGTCTCACAGGCAAATTCAAGGTGGCTCCACAAGGGCACTGGCAATGTAAGAGGAGAGAAGCAATTTCAGGGGCTGCTTAAGAGACCCGTGATTGGCCGGACAGGGGAGCGCAATGAGTTCACAGAGCCAAGGTAGTCTTTCGGGTTTATTGTGGAACAACCAGATGCATGGAGGTGGCTTTAACAAAGGAGGGGAGAGACACTGGAGAAGGAACAGGTCTGAAGGAGAAGATACAGATGAAGGTAACCTATGAGCCCTCCAAATAGAGGTGTTCATGTCACATGACCAAGATGACATTCCAAAATTATGAAAAATGGCATCAGTCAATGTTAATAAAAAAATGGTGTGTTCTACAACTGGCTTAAGACATTTTTCTTAAACACATTTATTCATTATGTAATAATAATCATAATTTAACAGTGGTGATGGGTTGGGGGAGGGTAGTGAGTTGAACTGTGTCCTCCAAAAGTCTGCTAAAGTCCTAACCCCTGGTACCTGTACATGTGACCTTATTTAGAAATACGGTCTTTGCAGATGTAATCAAGTTAGGGTGAGATCATCCTGGAGGAGAGTAGGCCCTAAATCCTGTAACTGGTGTCCTTATAAGGAGAGAGAGATTTCGAGACACACTGAGACACGGAGAGAAGAACGCCATATGAACACAGGCAGAGACTGGAGTTATGCTACTTGAAGCCAAGGAATCCCAGGGGCCACAGGAGCTGGAAGGAGTGAGGCAGGATCCTCTTCAGAGACTTCAGAGGGAGCATGGCCCTGCGAATATTTTTATTTTGGACCACTGCCTCCAGAACTGGGGCACAATCCGTTCCTATTGTCTTGAGCCACCCAGTTTGTGAGACTTTGCTATAGCAGCTGAAAAAAACTAACAGAGGGGGAACCGCTTTTTGCTTCAGCAGAAATTGGGAGGGAAGATTTAAGCCAGGGGCGCCTGGGTGGCTCAGTTGGTTAAGCGACTGCCTTCGGCTCAGGTCATGATCCCAGGGTCCTGGGATCGAGCCCCACATCGGGCTCCTTGCTCAGCGGGAAGCCTGCTTCTCCCTCTCCCACTCCCCCTGCTTGTGTTCCCTCTCTCTCTGTCTCTCTCTCTGTCATTTAAATAAATAAAATCTTTAAAAAAAAAAAAAGATTTAAGCCAGATCGAAGGCACTAAAGGAGAATAAGGCAGTTGACTACCTTACAAAATAAGGCTTTTGAGAGTCTGAACCTATTAGGTCTTGAATTCAGTTTTCACCTTTCAAAACTGGACACAACAGTACTTGGTCCCTAAGGTTGGACATGGGGTATGATCTGTGCACTGTAATGGATAATTATAAATAAGTTATTACTAGGCACAAATAAGTTACTATTCATTAATCTAGGAGTATAACGTGGCAGTCTGTTCCCCTATTACAATATTACTGTTAGTGCTGTGTCAGGTCTGATACATTTGCACATCCCCCCTATTCTGAAGGCAGTACTCATTGACAGTCTGACATCACTGTGGTACAGTGGTTCTCAAATGGGGGCAATGTGCTCCCCCGCAAGGGACATACAACAATGTCTGGAGACATTTTTGCTTGTCTCAACTGAGAAGGAGAGGCTACTGGCAAATAGTGGGTAGAGACCAGGGATGCTGCTAAAACATCTTACAAAGCACAGGGCAGCCCCCACAAAAAAGAACTGTCAGGCCTCAAGAGTGCCAAGACGAGGGGCGCCTGGGAGGCTCAGTCGTTAAGCATCTGCCTTCGGCTCAGGTCATGATCCCAGGGTCCTGGAATCGAGCCCCGCATCGGGCTCCCTGCTCAGTGGGGAGTCTGCTTCTCCCTCTCTCTCTGCCCCTCCCTTCCTCCTCCCCTGGCACTCGCTCTCTCTCTCAAATAAATAAAATCTTAAAAAAAAGAGTGCCGAGGTGAGAACTCTGCTCTAGAAGTACCCACCTAACCTGCTGTCAAAGCTTCAACTACCAAAGAATTCACTTTCTCATCCAGAAGAGTCTAACGGGTCATGTATCCTTCAGAAATTTGATAGAAGAGACTACTAATGCAGCGACCTGAAACCAGCTCAGAGCTAATGGAGACTTGAAACTTCTTCTAATATTCTAAAAAAAGGGGGGAAATCCCTGCCCTAGAAGACAGCCCCACGGTCCCCACCAGCTCTGCAAACACTTGCACTAACACACGCGCCGCAGAGCCGAGGGGGCCACACACCCAGCCATCTGTGGAACGTGCTCAGCATAAACCAGCTGCCAGACTGGGTCAGAGGAGGAAGAGTAACCGCCCTCCCAAGCAGTCTCCCCCGGTAGCCAGGAGCCTCCCTGAAGCTGAAACCCACCGCAGACCCAGCAGCTAAGCCCCTTGGCTGAACCCTGGAATTGCAATTAGGCAGTGGGTGGCTGGGTCAGCCCTCCAGAGTTGGCACAGGTAATTATCCTTTATCTGCACCTCGCAGCCAAGCCTCAATTACTGCCTTCTTCAAAGCTGTTGTATTTCCTTCGCTGCTGCCTCTGGCATGTGAAGCATTTGCAGTTGCCTCCTTGAAGCTACAGTGTAAATACGGCTGCGCATATCATACATTTTTAACCGAGCCTGTTTATCAAGTCTCTGTGGTCTGCTTGTCACCCTCACCATGTATTCAGGTCATAAATGACTTGAGCCTTCAATGCTATTCTCCTAGTCAAGAGCACCTTAGAAATACAATGAGCTCATTGGTAAGGGAAAAAAAAAAACCCCAGTTTTGGTAAAGGCAAAGATAGGTACCAAGGTTGCCCTCTTCGTTGGAGCTGTACTTTTTTTTCTTTCATTTACTAATAATACAAGTTCAAACATAACCCGAGCAAATAAAAGTGGGAGAGCTATGAAAGCAACACTACATATAATGACAAAATCTGCTGTGGAGGGCAAAGTACACGGCTAAGTAGAATAGCATATACCTTAATTCCCAAGTTCAAAAAGTCTGTACTTATTGGGTAGTTCTATGCAAGTTCGAGGATAAAAGTTGTACTATACTGGTTTAAATACCCTTAATGTTTTCATGAACTCACTGAAGACATCCTAATCAAAGCTAGATTTATATTTAAAATTGGCTTCATCCTGTCAAAGTGTATTTTATCACAAAAATGAAAAGTTTAGTTACAGCCTTTGGTCCATTGAGACAGAACAAATATTTCAACAGCTGGAAGATGTTAGAAGTCCAGAGTAATGGCATTTGAAGAGTCATATATAATTACTTTCTCCTAAAACAAAACATCTCAAAGAAAGCCAAAGAAACATACTATCTTATAGGAAACCAAATAAATATAAAAATAAAAATACAAAATTATAATCCCTCTCCAATTTTTATTTATCAAATTGACTTAGCTATTGGAACTACTGAAACTGTCTCAGGTAAGAGAAATAATTTCTTCTTGAAGTTATGACAACACTATTTTCCTAAGTATGAAAAACAGTAATCAGCATCTTTATGTATTTATCATAGTCGTATTATGGCTTTTCAGGGTAGACCGTACATAATTTTCCTTTCAGCTGGACAGCCAAGCAGCTGAAATAATTCATAATACAGTCTGATTAAAAGGAGCAAAAAGAAAAGTTCATACTCTGTTTCAAGTTTAGCTTGAATTTTCAAGCTAAAATGTCAGCAACTCAGAAGTAGAATTTAAACTAGCTCATGATAAATTTGTACATTTATTTTATACATTCATAGAGGCCTGTTATCATGATTCCCTTCACTTGTCTATCTAAACTGTACCCCATGAACTACCCTTACACCTATTTTATGCCCGCAATTCAGCCCACCATCATTGCCTTCCTATGTGGAAAAAAAAAACAGATTTATGTTGTTTCTCTAAGTTCATATTCTGGAAAAGATTTGGAATATTTATGAAGGGCCAATAAAAAAAATACTTTGCAATCCTACAAGCCACTGAGTACACTTGGATGAAGAATGTTCCCTAAAGAAAGACAGAGCTGGGAAGCCTGGGTGGCTCAGATGGTTAAGGGTCTGCCTTCGGCTCAGGTCATGATCTTGGGGTCCTGGGATCAAGCCCCACATTGGGCTCCCTGCTTCTCCCTCTCCCTCTGCCTGCTGATCCACCCTACTTGGGCTCTCTCTCTCTGTCTCAAATGAATAAATAAAATCTTAAAAAAAAAAAAAAAAAGACAGAGCTGAGGGGAGCGTGTGTGTGGGCGCGCTCACACATGCACGCACGTCTGTGTGTGAAACACTCTGCCAGATGATTGACTTTATCCCCTTCAGAAGGAAGTACTGGTGTACCACTCATTCTGCAGTCACAGGGAGACTTTTGAGACCAGCAATCATTAAGAGCAGTGGGTTTTAAATTAAGTTACAAACACTCGAGTTGCATCCCAGCTTGTTCTCAACTGGAGCAACTTTTATCTGTTTTATACAAAAATTCTATGGCAGAAGTGTGAAAAATGCTGATGGGGAATAATACGAGTGCTACCTCCCCAGGGATGTTCTGAGAATCCAATGATATAAATGTGTAAAATGCCCAGAAGGGCGGCTTGTGCACTTTTAAGCTCGACAGAGGTTGGCTGGAATGATTTGAGTCTCAACTGGCTATGTAATTTAAAGAAAGTGAAACATGGATGCTACTATGATTCCACATGTGGAAACTACACGTCTAACATCACAAGCTTTTAGAGGATAATCAACCGTAAAAGACATCTGAATTACAGAGCTTTAACACTGGATGTACAACCAGCAACATCACAAAATGGCTTACCTCTTCTTCTTGGTGATAATGAGCACGTCGTTAAAGAGAAAGAAGTAGACTTGCTGTTTAGATGTCCTTCTTGAGAAAAGCACGGTGTCTTCCACATAAGCTGTCAACTCGCCTCTTTTTACCAACCACCGGGAAGAGGAGACTAGAGGAAAAGGCTATAGAAGGAGAAAAACTCAGTGTACAAAGCCAAATGAAAGTCGTCTTAAGAGTATTGAAGGGAAAATTAAAACTCACATCTAAACAAACAACACATGTCATGGTATACATCATTATTTTATAAGTATATAACAGTGAAATATAGAGTACATTCTCCAAGAGAAAATGAAAAAAGAACAATTACTTTCCAATATAATAAACTATTAACTTGCCTATATGACAACGAAAACTCAATGAAAAAATATTATCGGGTCAGCCCAAAATTATTACCCTTCTGTAACTCTCAAAAGATGGACAGGGAGTCACTTAAAACAGAAAAGCCTCAAAAGGAAATCTATCGGTATCAACTGCTGCTATTTTAAATATCACAAGATAGAACCCGATAATTGTAGTTAACAAGAAACAGAAAAGTCTGCATCCACTTTATCAACTAAAAAGATTTTATTCAACAGGAAAAACTCCCCACAAACTATGTTTTCTCTACTGATTATTTACTTAGCCATATTCTGGAGAACACCTGTTCTTAAGTTTGTAGCAGTTTTTCCTCATGGAAATTCATCCCTGAACGCATCAGGCCACTTTCTGGCTGTGCAAACGACGTTCTTCCAAAATAATCCATCTTAATCTCATAGAAAAGTCTGTATCCAAGAAATTACATAGTGTTTTTTCTTTATTCAGTGCCCAGTTTCCAACTGAAAAACTCTCAAAATCACAGAATAATCCTTATCCTTAGCAGTTCTTTTTAAGTTATCAGAAATGCTTATTGCCAAAAATCTGATTTCAAAAACTATATCCACAGAATAAGCAAAAGGTCTTGGACACACAAAACATAGCTGTAATAGTACCAAAGGCCACCCTTTTCAGGGAACAGTGATTTAAAAATAGCTAGAGGAAACTGAGAATATTAGAGAGGAAATAAGAAAGCTAAGAAAGGATTTCACACACACACACACACATATATATATATTTTAATTTTATAAAGTGACTTTTATAAGGAGGTTGCTCATCAATTATAGACTATTTTCCTGAAGGTTTAAAAAGGAAGATGAAAGATTATGGATGACATCAAACTTTCAAAGCTGGCTATTAAGGGAGTTCATGGAGTTTCCAGCCCCCAAATCTCAAATCAAACAATTATCCAACTGGGATACAGCTGAGACTTGAAAGGCAGATGACAGACAGAGAGATGCTTAGATAAGTTGGGAGGACCCTACCATCCCACCGCAGAAGTCACCACAAGGGATCACGTGTCCGGTTTGGTCCTGCGGAAGGGCTACAATTAGAGAATGCAGTGCTATCTTGCTAGTGCTTGTCAGCCTAGGATAAACCAAGGGCAGTCTTGTGGCTAAGGTCCAGTGGACATGCCACCCCTCAACTGTTCTTGGTTTAGGAGATGGGGGGAGGAAGTCTTTTAAGCTTTTTTTTTTTAACTAGATCAATTTTTATGGATTCCTCATATTCCACAAGGCAAAAATAAATTTCTAATAGAAGATCTAAAGTCGACAGTGGTTTTCAAGATGTCAATGCTTTTTTTGAAAGCAAAAATCTGGTATTCTAAATGTTTTTTGTTTCCAAATTTATTATTAGGAGATTAAACTCATTTCAATAGTTTTTTGTTTTTTTTTTTAGAAGAAACTATTAAAATGACCAAAGAAAAGAATCCAAACCATCCACGGTGGAATAAATGAATTCCCCTAGTTAAGAAACTCTGACTAGAACCAAAACTAGAAAAGAAATACATGAATAAAAATATATCCTTAAAAGTCCTGAAATAAGTATGGAGAAAAGACTTCTCGTTCTTTTCTGTGTTAAGTAGCATCCTAGAAAACTAGTTGCAGCATAAAACTTAACTAATTTTATAGGCCAGTGAGACAAAGAAGAGCTGCTGAAGAATATTTTTTTTAGTGAAGATAAAATCAATCATTTAACCATTTTAAAGTGTACATGCAATTCGGTAACCTTTAGTACATTCACAGTGCAGCGCAATGATCATCACCACCTAACTCCAGGACATTTTCATTACCTGAACGGGAAGTCATCAGAGAGGGAAACAAACCAAGACAGACTGTTAACTCTTGGAAATGAAGTGAGAGTTGCTGGAGGGGAGGTGGGTGGGGGGAAGGGGTAACTGAGTGATGGGCATTAAGGAGGGCATGTGATGTGATGAGCACTGGCTATTATAAGCGACTGATGAATTACTGAACTCTACATCTGAAACTAATGATGTACTATATGTTGGCTAATTGAATTTAAATAAATAAATAAATAAATAAAAGAAACCCCATAAGCAGTAAGCAGTCACTCTCCATTCTGCCCTCCCCTCTCCCACCCAGGCCCTGGCAGCCAGTAATCTACCTTCTAACCCCATTAATCTGCCTATTCTGGACATTTCATATCAACAGAATTATATAATACAGGCCCTTCAAATGCTGGCATGTATCAGAACTTCAATCCTTTTTTATGGCTAAACACTACTTCACTGTATGAATGTAGCACATTTTATTTATCAATTCACCTATTTTCTTGATGGACATTGGGGTCGTTTCCACTTTTCTGGCTATTATGAATAATGTTGCCATGAACATTCACATACAACTTTTGTTTGAATGACCATCTTCAATTCTCTTGAGTATATACCTAGACGTGGAATTTTTGGGTCATACAGTAATCCTATTAACTTTTTGAGAAGCCACCAAATTGTCTTCTACAATGCACAGACTTTTTAATACCTCAGAGTTCTGCATTTTGCCTCCTATATCTTGGACTTCTACTTATTAGCAAGGTCCCCAAATAATGACCAGGAAACCCATCCACCCACCAATACACCACCCCGCTGCATTACACTTAATTTATGGCTCATGGTATAGCCCGGCAATCCTCAATTTCCCCATGTACTTATTCATAAGGCCAAACTTTCCATTATAAGACAAAAACAAATAATCCTCCCCAACTCTGTGCAGGCAACTTTTAGAGGAAGCTGAGGTCTAGTGGAAAAAACACTTGGATTTGAGGCACAAACTGGTGTCTGATCTTAGTTTGGTGACCAACTTTTTCTCCACAGCCCTCACTTCCTTCTTCCTGCCAAGATTCTTGGATGAAAAGTCTAATCTGTTTAAACAGTTTCACATCCTATTAGCTCTTCATCCCTCTGCAACATGCCTACCAGGCCTATGAAACTATTCTGACAAAGAATCTGAAAGATATTTACTACTTGCTTACTATCAATCAGATCTGTTCCAAGTCCTTTAGGTCTAGCAATGAATTTAATCCTCACAATACCTCCCTGAGGGAAAGTACTATTATCAGTTCCATTTTAAGATTCAGAAAACTAAGACATAAAGTAATGGCCAAGCTCATACAGCTAGTAGATGGTGGAGTTGTTTTCTAATTTGCAATTTGCTAATGGGTTTTTTTCCTTAACTTTTTCTCATCTCTTTGAGCTTACACGTTGAAGATATTAACCTCTCGTCTATATGTGAGGTACAAATACTTTTCCAGTTTGCTGTTTCTCTTTTCACTTTTTTATGTCTTATTTTCCCTTCTATAGAGAAATTCTTAAAATTTTTCATATAAATGAACTTACACTATTCTTTTAATGACTTCTGGATTTGGAGTAAGTTCAAAAGGCCTTTCCCATGTTGCTAAAGTGTCGCTTCCCTGCTTAGAACTTTTCAGTGGCTCCCAAATGACCTTGCTCAGTGGCTCCTCTAGGCATAGAAGGCCCCCCACGTGAGCTGTTGTTTACTGCTTGGCTCTGCCTTGCTCCCCCTGCACCTCATGCCCGTCCACACTGGACGCATACAGTTGCTGGGCTACAGCAGCTGAAGCCATGCCCTGTGCATTTGTTCCTACCTTTTACTTCTAGAAGACCCTTCCTAACTCACCTTTCAAGATTCAGCTCAGACATAGCTCTGGTATGAAGCCTTAACCTGACTGCTACAAGCTCCCCACCCCTGTATGCCTCACAGGTAGGGCTGACCACCCCTTCCCATGGAGAATGTTCTCAAAAAAAAAAAAAAAAAGAGGGGGGTAGGAGGCAAATCATAAAATGGACTCTTAACTATAGAGAACAAACTGAGGGTTCCTGGAGGGGATGTGGGTAGGGGATGGGGTAAATGGGTGATGGGTATTAAGGAGGGCACTTGTCGTGATGAGCATTGGGTGTTGTATGTAAGTGATGAATCACTAAATTCTAAAAAAAAAAATTGAAAAAAAAGGAGAGAGTGTTCTCAATTGTCTTCCATCTAGGGCGACAGCTGCAGACGCTGCCAACTCCTCTGTACTTCCCTGGTTGCCTATTAGACTGTAAGTTCCCTGAGGGCAGGGATTAGGTTTTGGTTTTCTGGCTGCCTTCCACAGAGAAAGTGCTCACAAAATTAGTTGACACAACACATGTGCTAGGACAAATCATTTGACTTCTTCCGAACATCTATCTTCTCGTCTTTAAAATGAACTGCATAAAAATGTCTACTGTTGTCCAGAAAGTGTTATGGAAATGAGATCCTCAGATTTTATTAGTATTCCTAAGTAGTCTGAATTAAGTGCCTCATTGTAAATCTAAACATAGAATATCTTCCTTTAGGCTTGCAAATATTTTAATCATTGAACCAAAAGAAAACAAAGAACCCGAAATTCATGAACCCAATTGATGTTAATCGTTTCTTTTTAAGGACCCTTGGGGTAAGCATTTTTCAATTACAAATCAATTTGGGGTTCTAGAGAAATAGAGCTTAAAGATATCTTAAGCCAACTCATATTCAGTGAAGAAAAAGAAAAAGAAAAATGGTTAGGGAAGGGATTTATCATCTTTAAAAATCAAAGTGGTTAGGAATTTATAATCTTTAAAAAGGAGGAGATAAAACTTTTGATGTCTAGAAATATTTTCTAAAATACTTAGAAACAAATTACAGAGAAGGACAAGTTTCTTTTTGAGGGATGGAGGAAAGATGGATTTGAAAATTGCTATAAGTTTCTGTAGAAAGCCATTATAACAAAGTGCATGTGTGTGTGTTTGTTTTTCACAAGTACACATCATCTTCTGTTCTAAGAATTATGTGTCGCGTTCCTGCTTCTAAACTGTTGTAGTCAGGATGTTCTGGTGAAAGAGTTTACACTGATCTGCCAGTCAGGACATACGGGCCCTCGCCTTGACTCTACCACCATTAGCCCAGCGACCCCGTTAACAATTAAGTATTCTCTGGGCTTTATTTTCCTCATTTATAAAATAAAAGCACACAGCTATACTGTACCAGTGGTCCTCCAACTGAAGTGGCAAGGCAGAGAATCTCCTCTCTGCATAAGACCATGAAACGCTGATCCACCACAGCACTGTATATCCACCACACAATTTAGGAGCACTTTTACTATGAAAAAATACAACCAGTCCTTTAAGTTGCTTAATTAAATTTACAAGTTACAAAATAAAATAGAAGCACAATCGTGAGCACTCACTTCCATTAAGAACTCAGTTGTGAGCCAACGAAAGACTATGACCTAGATTTGCCATTCAGGGTCATTTTCTTCTTTATACATCCTGTCATCCACTCCTAAGCAGTATCATACAAGCAGTAAGAGGGAGCACATACCCAAAAGAGAATTATGGAAGAAAAATAAATTTGAAAAGAACACTCCACTAACAATTTTTTTTTGCAAACTGGAAGAGGAGTGTCTTTACATAATTTAGGAGAACATGTGCTACAATTCATGGGATTTTGTTTGTTTTGCAGGACACTTTGAGAATAGTAAAGAAATCACCTTTCCATTCTAAAATTCTATTTTTTTTTTTTTTTACTACGCTTTTCCCTAAATTTGGGGGTGGGGGTAGGGGAATGTGCTAGTTACATAAATCTAACCTTGTGGCCTGGAGAAAGGCAATTTTATCTGGTGACCATAAGCAAGAGCAGAGCTGCCTGGAACTTCTGCCACTGCCTCAGCAAGTTCACTGCCCCTCCAATCAATTTATGGCCCTTCTTTGAAAAGCAAATTCCTATCTTCTTTGTTGCCCTCAACTATCTCTCTCTATTTACATAAGATTTAAGCAAGACTGGTAATAAATCTGTTTATGAAGAAATACGAGAATACCTAAAAAAAAAAAAAAAGAAATACGAGCATACCTTAATTTTAAATTCCAACTGGGAATTAATGGTGTACATCATTTCAGTCCTTTCCATCTTCCGAGCTCCTTCATTGCATAGTCGAACCAACTGAGAACACAGAATAATAAGGAGGGTTAAGAGGTCAAGGAGAGAAACCTCAATTTCAAATGCAGAGCTCTCACAGGAAATAATTTGCACTTGGAAGCTCCAGAGACTCATTTCTGACAGCTAAAGAACGCACAGTTTTACGCAGTTAAGACACTGTACCCAGGTGAAGATGGTGTCATTAAGATGTGAAGACAGAGGGGGAAAAGAAGTCCTGAAAAGCCTCCGGGACACATGTCCTCTGAGGGCTCTCCCACAGTCTGGCCTCTGGCCTTTGGTTCCTTTCCTCTGCCCCTCCTCCGCTCCTTCACCAGGGAAACCTCAGCCGGCCTAAGGGCAAGCTGCTCCTCTCTCCCCACTTCCAAATCCCCGTGGCTGGGGCCAACTACCAACTGCAAAGGCAAATTTTATGCCGTGTGCTACCTGTAGGCATATGACCAATACAGAGGATGCCAAAAGAGGGAAGCCTTTGGGTAGAATCTAATGGTCAATGATTTTTCAAGGGTGGCCAAACTAAGGGAAACTCAGTTGAACTAGAATTACTGAATTATCTATCAACCGAATGCATTCAAAGTCCCTTGATGAGGGCCTGTGATTTATAATAAAAAAAGATCTATTTGGTCTTGGTCCATAGTTCCCAGCATATAGTCCCTTCAGCCCTTGTAATTTCCTATATAAGAGCCATGGGGGCATCTTTAGTTATAATATTTAGTTTTGTTCCCAGTTCCTGGAAGCTCCAGAGCAGTAACACTGAAATGGGTGTCTTCTTATTCCCAACAAGCCCCTTTCAACCACATCTGAGTTTATGTTAGTGAGGTAGCTTTTAGAAAGCCCCTAACGATAGGGCTGGTTGTCAGGGGAGCCAACCAACTGATTAGAGAGAGGGTTGTACCTTTCAGCCCCGCCATACCCTCCCCCACCAGACTTTTGGGGAGAGGAGAGGGCTGGCGACTGACTTGACCACTAACGGCCAATCTCATCATGCCAATCAATCTTGCCTACGGAATGAAGCCTCCATAAAAATCCAAGGACTATGAAGTTCAGAGAGCTTCCAGGTTGGTGAACAAGAACACACCTATGTGCTGGGAGGGTAGTGAACCCCACACTCCATGGAGACAGAAGCTCCTGTGCTCGAGACCTTTTCAGACCACGTCCTAGCATTGGTCTGGGCAGAGTGAACACCATGAGCAAAGGGCCTACGAAAGCAAAGCGGCTGCAGTGCCTGAGAAAGCAAAAGATCCCGATACAAGGAAGATGGCACAAGATGAAGTGACAGAGGCCAGGGTCAAAGCACACTTCTTAAAGCATCTGGATTGTATTCCAAGTGCAAAGAGAAAGGCTGCAGGAGGGGAATGATAGGATGCAATTTATGCTATCATCAGATGCTTTCCCCAACGTATTTATTCAATCCTCTATTGATGGACGCTTAAATGATTTCCGACTGCTTAACAGAGTTCTAGATTTGGAGGGTACCCCCATCTTCAGTTACAGCTTATCTTTCAGTCTGAACCTAAAGAGTTCACGGATGCAGGGACTGATGGCTACACCTGATCACAACGAGGGGCCGAAAACATCCTGGCTAGGGTTAGGGGCAATCTGAAACTGCAATATCCTGAAAGGATTAAGACATCTCAGAGTGAAATCTAACGAGGCAGCCATTGCTCCAGACATTTTTACAAATTCTCTTGAGGAGTATATTCACAGCTCCCAAATCTATGTTCCCAGATGTGGTCTGTCCTGGACGTAGTCATCCCGGACCTGGGTCTACCTCCAACTACTTATATTGCCCACAGGCAGCTCAAAATCTAAAATGAGAATGACCAAACCTGAGCATCATCTTCATCACCCACTCCCTGCGGCTCCGTGTCCTCCAGGTCAGTGACTGGTTCCAGCATCATCCACCTTCCCAAGCCAAAAACCCTGGCCCTCACTGCTCTCTCTCCTTTGTCCTCCATATCCAAGCAGTCATAACATTTCCTTAATGTTGCCGGTCCACGTCCCTCCCTTTGCCTTGTGCCCGGAACTCAGGCTCAAACCCCCTCTCCCCTGAACTGACCTACCAATTCTCTGCCATCCATTGCTTCTATCCTACCCTTACACATCCTGGAGATAATGCTGTCAATCTTTGTAAGTTCAAATCTGATCATGAAACGACTTGGCTTAAAATCCTTAGAAGGCTCCCCTGAGCTTTCAGAATTAGGTCTTAGCAACACCATGATCTGGCAACTGCTCTTACCCTGGGCCTCAGCCCTGCAAAATTTCTGGCCAAACCACCACATTCCATCTTGCCTTTGCCCTTCTGCATGTGTGTTTCCCTCTGCCCGAACACCCTTCAGCCCACTCTGACTTCTTCAGACCGACTTCTTCTTATCTAGATTTATAACCCCCTACCTATCTTTCAGGACTTATCTGGGGGCATTTCCTCTCTAAAGAGAATGGAAAGCAGAGACTGTGAAATTTTCATATTTGTCAGCCCGATGCCCACAGCCCAGCACCTAAAAACACAAGAACACTCAGCAAATGTTTCTGTGTAAACTGCCTTCAGAGACTTTATAAGTCACTTAAAAAGAAAAGATGGGGTGGGGTGGACACTTCCTTTATAGTTATCCTGTTTTAAAATGAGAAGGGAAAATGGCATTATTAAGTTTGGGTTATCATCTTCTTTCCTAAACTTCCAAATATCGACTCTATCAGCAAAAGTCCGTGGAGCCAGCCACCACATCAGAAGACAATGTTTCAGAGAGCACATTAAAAACAAAAAAGTTCTCCAAATGTCTTAAGCAATGGTCTCATCAGTGGAGCCCATTTTAAGGACTATTTCAAAGGGACAAGCACTAATTAGCATATGTGTGCTCTGGTGTTTTTATTAAAATCAGGCTCAGTATATTAAAATAACGCCTTCCTTCAGCAGGTGTCAAAGCTTTATTAAATTCAACTCGCTAACTTTTTTAGGCCAAATTTATTTAAAAAAAAAAGGTCAAACCCTCTAACAAAGAAATATAAATTAAAAATAAAATATTTTTGGGGTGCCTGGGTGACTCAGTCATTAAGTGTCTGCCTTCGGCTCAGGTCATGATCCCGGGGTCCTGGGATGGAGCCCCGCATTGGGCTCCCTGCTCAGTGGGAAGCCTGCTTCTCCCTCTCCCACTCCCCCTGCTTGTGTTCCCTCTCTCGCTGTCTCTCTGTCAAATAAATAAATAAAATCTTTAAAAAAAATAAAATAAAATAAAATATTTTCAATCTATCAAATTCACAAAGATTAAAGAATATTTGAAGCTGGGAAGTGTGCAGTAAGACAGACATTTACATTTCTTCTGGTGGCCATGGACTTGGGAACAACCTTTTTTGAAGGCACTTGGGGCCTTTAAAAAATACCTACATTTTTGTTCCAATAAACCCACTTCTGGAAATTTATCTTTAGAAATAATCAGATGAGCACAATCATTTATGCAAGACAATGTTCCAGGCAGTACTAGTAGAATAGTAAGTGCAATGGGTACTGTACGAATCCATTTTTCAGTGTATCTTTATACCATACACTGGTATTGGATTAGACATCCCATTGGAAGTAATGTAGTAGAATGACAACAGTCATTACTTTTTCTTTAAAGATTTTATTTATTTGAGAGAGAAAGCGAGAGAGAGCACAAGCAGGGGGAGCGGGAGGCAGAGGGAGAAGCAGCCTCCCCGACGAGCAAGAAGCCGGATGTGGGACTCCATCCCAGGACCCTGGGATCATGACCCGAGCCGAAGGTAGACACTTAACTGACTGAGACACCCAGGCGCTCCAACAGTCATTACTTTTGATAAAATTACTGATACATTTTATTTTCTGTCTCTTACCTAAATTTTCCAAATTTTCTATAATGTACACTTATTAGTTTATTTTCAGGATATACCTTTGTAAACTTTAAATGCATTCTTACAAAGCAGTACTTAGAGTGAAAACAGAAACCTTGTGAATCCTTCCCTTCCACACAGTTCCAAGTTTGATGTGCATGATTCTGGGACTATTTCTCTAAACCGATAACATACATATGAGCATCAACACACTTTATTAATGAGATGTCATTACACCATTTGTATTGCTCTGCAACTTAATGTTCCTCATGTAACAGTATAGCTTAGGGGTCTTTCCAAGGTAATAGATATGTATGTCTACCTTTCTGCAAATGGCAGGAGCAATAAGTTATAGAAGAAGATTAAAAAGACTTGGCTATTTCGCTACCGGGAGAAAGACTTATAACTTAACAGTATCTCCAAATAGGAGTAGCATTGTTATGAGGTGAGAGTGAAAGCAGTTATTCTAAGGAGAGTTAAATGCAAGAGAAGGGCGGGAAAGACTTCACTGGCATAAGAAACCACCCTCTGACCTCCACTCCTTGAACTCCAGACATCACTCTGCACCAGCTGAACTTTAAATTCCCTGGAAATCGCCCTCCCCGAAGCTCTACCCCACCATGCGAACAGAAAGTCAGGAAGTAAACACATTTTTATTTAACAGAATCATCTTTTTTGTTTTTGAGTTGTTCGATGAGGTCAATAAGTCTTTCCAAGGCCCCAAATTCAGTAAGCATTTACACTCATTTCAGCAACATGTATGAGGAATTTCAGTGACATATTACTCACGCTATGCAAATAAATTTCATTAGCATTTTAATTATCAGAAAAGATATTACTCATTTTTTCCAAGAATGAATAACTATCTAGAGACACTTGCCCAAGGGCCTTAGGTAGTCTGCTTCTAAAAACTTGGACCGTGATATACCAAGTTTCACTCTCTAGAATAAATACTGGAAACTCCTACTTTCTTTTCTTTTCAGATAAAGCAAACAAGTGAAATTCTGCTTTTAATTTTGAATAATAAATGCTCTATTTACACACTGTTTTTGTTGAAAATACTGATACTGTTCTCCCAGAATCTTTAAACCCCATCAAGCAACCTTGACAAATGAAAAAGAAGTTAATTCCTGAGCTGGCTGTATTAGTGGTTTTAGTTACCATATACCACTAGGAGACTTGGGAAATAATTCTGACATTCATAACTTGTGCTCAAGAGAGAGAAAGAAATGCAGAGAAAACAAGTCACTAGAATGGCATTTCTTCACAGAGAGCCTTTTATATGCTTATAGTATCAGATTAAGGCAATTCACTGATCCATTACATTTTTGCCTGCCTTTCCTACAAGTACCAGTGTCAAATCCAGGGAACATGAGATGTCCGAAGGGATGCAGTGGTTTACTGCAACTGGGGTGTGAAATTCTTGAAAAACACTAAATATCATTCCTAGCTCAATTCAACAGTAACTACAGCCTTCCTCCTTCCTCTTCTGTGTGAATTCTTTTTCAACTTCTCAGTAACAACGAAATAAAATTTGACAAAATTTCTTGCAAGTCCAATGCTAGACCTTCATTAGTAGCTTCTAAAGGCCCTCCCTGCTACTGTCTCCAGGAAGGCAGCACAGGATGCGGGGGCCTGGAGGAGAGACCCACTGGTGGTAGGACCTTATGTAACCTCACATTTGTCAGTCTGTTTCTTTACTTAGTGTTCCCCAAAGTGGGATGTGCAGACCACTGATGGGTCAAGAGGTGAATTTAAATGGTTGACAGATTACTATGGTTTAATTTTTGTATCCCTCCAAATTCATATGATGAAATCCTAAACCCCAAAGATGATGGTATTGAGAAGTGGGGCTTTTGGGGGGCTGCTTAAAAGTCATGAGGGTAGAACCCTCACGATGGGATAAATGCTCTTACAAAAGAGGCTCTACCAACCCCTTAGTCCCTTTTACTGTGTAAGGCTCTGAGGAGAAACCTGCCACCCAGAAGAGGACCCTCACCCGACCCTGATCTTGGACTCTTCAACCTCCAGGACTAGGAAAAATAAACTTCTGTTGTTTATAAGCCTCCCAGTCTGTGGTATTTTGTTACAGCAGCCTGAATGAACTAAGACACAGATAAACTTACTTTTAATATAAAAATGTATATTAGAATAATAAACAACTAGCTCACAAAACCCATGATTTTGTAGGTACTATTGGCAAGGATGGGGATATGTAAAATAGAGTCAACTTAAAGTTGATTAAAAGAAACAGTACAGGGGCGCCTGGGTGGCTCACTCGGTTAAGCAGCCGACTCTTGATTTCAGCTCGTGTCATGATCTCAGGGTCCTGGGGTTGAGCCCCGTGTTGGGCGCCATGCTCAGCAGGGAGTCTGCATGAGGATTCCCTCTCTCCCGCTACTCTGCCCCTCCCGCTCACTTTCTCTCTCTGTGTCTCTAAAATAAATAAATCTTAAAAAAAAAAAAAAAGGAAAGAATCTACCTCACAGTAAAGTGATGCAAAAATGTACCAAACTCAAAGGCAGTGTGGTAGCTGCAAGTGGTTTGGGAAGCTTCTGGCGCTGCCATTGTCTCTATCCCCCTCTGCCTAACTCATACAGTATCTTCACTGACTCCCCACACCTTCTACTGCTTTCTCTCAGCTCGATATTCCTATCGGCATTTAAATGTACCCATGTTTTTCTAATATTTAAACAAACAAAGAGACGTTCCCACACATCCCTTTTAAGCTACAGCTCTCTCCCCACGGACAGCCCCAGAGTTGGAACAGCCAGCCACACTTGCTGGCGCGCTGCATCTCCACACCTCCCGCTCACTCCTCAATGCACTGCAATCCAGCTTCCACGCCCACACTGCGAGGACACAACCCACCTGATGGTAAACCCATGACTGCTTCACTCATCAGTCACTCTATCTTTCAGGAGCACTCAACTGGGCTGACTGACCTTTCACCAAATCATCTGCCGTTTGCCAGGCCATTATGGTTTTCCTCCTTCTTTCATATGTTTTGTTTTTTTAAAAAAGTCTTCTCTATGGGTACCTTTTCCCTAAACAAGATGAATGGTGGTGGTGTTCTTCACGGTCGTGTCCCAGACTCACTGCTCTTCTTACTCTATACGCTCTTTCTGGGTCATCTCATCTACTCTCCCAGCTTCAGAAATCATCATATATCCATGATCCCCAAATCCAGGTCTCCAATTCCAGTCTCTCCAGTGAGTTCCTGACCTGTTTATTCAGCCAACTTGAATATTCTGTAAGAACTTCTCTTATCACATATCCAAAATGGAACTCATCAGCTTCTCCCTATGTTTCTATTGGAAAGGTAAATAAGAGCATCCATCTAGTTGCCCAAGCCAGAGACCATATTCCTTGACTTTGATCTTAAATACACTCACCCAATCGATCTCTGTGCCTACCTCTCCAATGTTATATATTGCGTCTCTACATCTTACTATACATCCATAAAGGCCACTGTCACCTCTAGCCTAATCAACTACAAAAGCCTCACAAACTGGTCCCATCCCCATTGTCACCTTTACAACACATGAATTTATAGCTTCTGCATCATTGTAAGAGAAGGTCCACACTTTCCTAACCTTGGCCCCCCAGTATTCTTTCCTAGACTGGGCTCTACAGCTACATGAAGAACATTTCAGTTCTTCAAATCCTCCAAATATTTTTCTTGCCTTTGGGTTTCTTTTTTATTTTTTCAAAGATTTTATTTATTTATTTGACAGAGAGAGAGAGACAGTGAGAGAGGGAACACAAGCAGCGGGGGTGGAAGAGGGAGAAGCAGGCTTCCCGTGGAGCAGGGAGCCTGATGCGGGGCTTGATCCCAGGACCCTGGGATCATGACCTGAGCCAAAGGCAGACGCTTAACGACTGAGCCACCCCAGGCGCCCAGCCTTTGGGTTTCTACACATACCCAACACACTCTCTTCCCCCCGCCCCCAAGCTCCGGTTCAGAGCTCAGCTTGCTTTAGGTTTCAGCTTAAACATCACTATGTTCTTCACTACCATGTCACTCCCCATCCTTTATTGTAATTCTTGCTTAACACCTGCCTTCCCCTTTATACAGCATGTTGCATGAGGGCATTAACCACAGCTGTCTTATGTCCGCATCATCATATTTTCAGGGGTTGGCATCATGCCTGGCACAGTTTTTGATACTCAGTAAATAGCTATTTAATGAAAGAATGAATAAACGACTATCCAGACACCAAGAGAAAATGAGATCTCTATTGGCCGTTACAGCAAGACTGCATAAAACAATAAAAATACTAATTTCATTTGAGTGCAGCAAACGTTATTTTGTTTCTCAGCTACCTAAAGAATGCTGTGCGAATGGCTTTGAGAACTCCCAATGTTTAGCATCAAACCCAGATGTGTGCTCTTCCGAGATGCTGAACAGTTTACTGTGTGATGAGCTAGCTATTCAACAGTTACCTTGCTCACTTCCTTTAGCGCTCTCTTGCAGACCTCATACTTCGGAGAGTCCTTCGGTGTTTTCTGACAGATAGTCTGCAGTGAAGTAAAAGAAAAACAAAAAAATCAATCAGTTTGTTTATTTAGTAAAATAAAACCAAGGTCCAACCACATCCTCTTACTCATAGCAAACTTAACAATGCTGAACACAACATTATGGATGAGTATGAAGATTACATTAAAATCCAATGACAAAACTAGGAAACAGTCTTTAAATGCACAGGATCCAAGTAAATCCAGGGAATGATTAAATAAGAGAATGGACTTCAGGGGTGGAGGAACCTGGTTTCAAATCCAAGTTCTGTCCCTTACTAGCTATTTGTCTGTGGGCAAGTCACCTACCCTGTCTCTGTAAGCCTCAGTTTCCTCATCTGTAAAATGGGGATAAAGCCAACTATGTCACAAGGCTATTGTCAGGATTAAATGATAATACATGTACAGTTCTTTATGACTGCCTGTCATACAGTATGCCCTCAATGAATGATAAAACTAATTATTACCATCATCATCATTACTCAAGGTAATTATGTTTGTAGATAATACCACTGAATAAAAAGATCAAGAAAAACAGGCTGCCAGATTTTCTTTTGATATAGTTACACTGCAATTTTTGTGATGCTAAAATTGACTTCAAAGAGGGTCAATTCAAGGTAAATGGGGATACAGATAATTTTTGAATCCATATCCATTCAAGGCCAATGGAATCATTTTATGTTAAAAATGTTCATCTCAGTTGGTAAGTTTAACTAACTCTCCAAATGAAGTAAAATTGAAAAGAGTATGCTTTAAGTACATTTAGATTCTGCCCAGGTGGCCAGATTCTCACATTTAGGAAACTGATTATGGCAATAGGCATCAAACAGAAGTGGAAGGTAAGTTGGGAACTGGTATCTTGAATGTAAGTGAGTACTAGGCCTACAAATCTCACAAATATGTGAGAAGCAGAGTATGTACCATCTGTGGGCTTTTGTTAATGGTTCTCAAATTTTTTACTATGGCCCACTGTAAGAAATCCACTTACGTTAGCAACCAGTACATGTGTACATAAAAATGAAAAAAGCTTTTTAAAAAATAATAATTAATCATATTATGAACTGTATACATATCACATACCACACATTCTATTCTATTTCACTTTAAAAAAATATTTTATTTATTTATTTGAAAGAGAGAGACACAGATAGCAACGGAGATAGTGCGGGAGTTGAGCAGGGAGGAGAAGGAGAAGCAGGCTCCCTGCTGAGCCGAAGGCAGATGCTTAACCGACTGGGCCACCCGGGCACCCCTCTGTTTCACTTTTTTAATAAACACTGCTTATGATTCAAAAATAATTTCATGACCCACTAATGTGTACAGAAGCAGTATGGAAAATACTGGTTTATGTCCCTGAAAGCAGACATCCTGAGTCCTGAGCTGTCTTTGCACACTTCAATTTTATGTAAAATTTTGTGCATACCAAATTTTCTAGAGAGAATGACTCTAGCTTTACTCAGAATCTCAAAAGGGTCTCTGACCCAAAAAAGTTTTGAGTCCACTGGCCATTCATGGCACTAACTCTCCAACATGGTACAACACAGTATGTTAGATTCTGTGAGTCCCAATGCATTCAAGCAATTTTCCCAAAATTAAACAGAGAAAATATAGAAGGCTGAGAGATCACAGCATATACAGAATCTAAAGAAATATACCTGAAATACATTTTCAGATGAAAAGGAACCCTGAAAATTCTTAACATTGCAAGAAATGTTGTATTTAGAAAGTACCCATTTCTTATTTAAAAAATATCAAAATTTGAAATATTTCTCTAGATCAAAGTTTCATATTTTTATGAAAGTGTTAGTAATCTTATAAAATAAACTTTTTAAATGATTTTTTACTGTTGATAAAATCTTATGGAAGAAAGTACAGCAGCTGCTCCTCAAATGTATCTTTGAAAAATTCACAATGTTTACATAACTCAGGACAAGCCCGTATACTATATACACGAATTTAGTGAAAAAAACACTGAGTGCCTATTATCGTCAGGCTTAACATTTACTACTTCATTCGTTTTCATGCCAATCCTTCAAGTACATATTATATTTATGCTTCAGATGAAATTAGGCAATTTGTCAGGGATCATATCGTAAGTGGGAGAACCAGAATTTGTGCCCAGATCTTACTCCAAAAGGCACAGGGCTCCAAGGACACCAAGTTTACCTTTCAGAGTCCCTTCTCTCAAAGTGCTGTGGGTGTTCAGATGGGGAGGAAGATATATCTGTTCAGGAGGGCACTGAGTAAGGCTTCATGAACGAAGGAGCATTAGAACTAGTGCCTGAAAGACGTGCTTGTTTTAGTTGTAAAGCTGAGAAGTGACAGCCAACAACAACGTGACCAAAGATGCAGAGTAGGAAAGTCAGGGAAGAAATGTGGATGGAACCTACAAATAAACCTTTTTTTAAGCCAAAATTTGGTTTTGATAACCTGGCTGCATTCTGTCCTTAGACATGAGAAATGCTGATCTCAAAAAAAAAAAAAAAAAAAAAAAAATCAGTGCTAAAGTTTCAAAATTCTGCAAGTCTTCCAATATTCACAAGGAGGGAATCACAAGGGAAGCATATGAAGGTAGTAAATTGAGGTGAAGCTGGAGAGCAGCAGGGTGTTGGGAATTCTGAAACAATGACCAACCCCCTACCCCCCAAACCAGGCAGCAGAGCCAACAAAGTGACTATGATCACATGCTTTCACTCATTGCAAAATGTCAGTGCTTTTAGAAAATCTCTGAATTTATAATGGAATATGGAAAATGGAATTTGTTTTGTAACCTTACTCAATCATAATTTTTTGCTGTATTTTTGTCCTGTGTTTTGACATGCAAAAGCCAAGTATGTTGAAGCTGACATTTACATTATGATCCAATTTTAAAGTAAAACTACGGCAAAATATTTTAACTTGATCAAAGAGATACTAGTTGGCCCACTAGCTGGTTGGGAGCGGTGCTGGGCCACCTGGTTCTTCTCTCCTCGTAGTTGTGGCTGTGGCGCCAGCCCAGCTGGTGAGCAGGGCCTCCCCCCGACCCCGTCCACCGCCCCCCCAACCTGCCTCACTGTCCTCCCAGCTGCACTTCAGACCAGACAGTCTCTGCTCACCGCCCCCAGCCATGGCCACCATTCAAAATGGTAAAATTAAATCCTTGTTTTCTTCGTGAATGTTCCCTAAAACAATAAGGATGCTGGCCCTTGTGCCATAGAAAATAAGGGCAAGTTCATGTCTTCTAATGCTGAAGAGTATCTCATCCCCATGTGCAGTAGAAGCACCACAGCCTCTTGGAACCCTCCAGGGAAGGGATCTTGGTGGTTAATCTGAGGAAACTGAGGCTGAAGACATTAAGTGACCTGCCCAAGGTCACATAGCCTAGTGGCTCAGCTGGAAATGGAATCCAAGGCTCTAGGCTTCAATAAGCCAATACTTTTCCCATTTCAAAAAATGTTAAGCGAGTGATGTAATCTGAAATCTTCGGAGTGCCCACACAAGCCTAAGTTGAAGGTAATTTCCAAAGATATTAAACACAGTGAGACTTCCCAACTGAATAGCACCTTTTCACTTAGTTGGAGGATTTTAAAGAAGAGATATAGTACATTGATTTAAGCGAAATAAGAATAATTTCCTTAACCAGATTGATAGCAGCACAGCTACCCAAAGAGGAAAGAGCCATTAGATCATGTCTTACGTCCATTAGCAGGGGCAGGCGAGTCACCCTCTGCATGGGGAGAATGAGGAAGGAGATCATGGGTAAGTTCCTACAGTCTTCATGGGACTCAATTCGTGATAGTACTTCCTTAAAAGATGGGTTGGTGGCTCTGAGAAGAAACAAGGAAAGAAGAAACTCAAAATACTTCCTCCTCAAGTTAAGAAGTAAAAACATATCACAGGCATACCTCAGATATATTGTGGGTTTGGTTCCAGACCACTACAATAAAGCAAATATTGCAATAAAGTGAATCAAAGGAATTTTTGGTTTCCCAGTGTGTACAAAAGTCATGTTTACATCACAATGTAGTCTACTAAGTGTGCAGGAGCATTATGTCTTAAAAAAAAAAAAAGATGTACATACCTTAATTAAAACACACTTTGCGGCTAAAAAACGCTGACCATCATCTGAGCTCTCGGTGAGCCATAATCACTGACCACAGATCACCGTAACAAATATAATAATAATGAAAATGTCTGAAATATTGTGAGAATTACTAAAATGTGACAGAGACACCAAGTAAGCAAACACTGTTGGAAAAAGGGCAGCAACAGACTAGCTCGACGCAGCGTTGCCACCAATCTTCTGTTAAAAGTGCGATAAAGTGAAGCTCAATAAAACTAGGTATGCCTGTATAAAATGCTCTTGTAAATTCATATATTATGATTTCTAATATATAAAATGACAAAAATTACATAGACACAGATGGCTTGTCTGCCTTTTATAGTAACAACTGAATATAAGATAGGCGTTTAAGATAATATGAACAATAAGAAATGTATGAGCTAGAAATTTATAGAAGTGGTAAGTAAACAAATGAAGAGGCAATGGTATCAGAATGGTGAACGTATCTGTGAACAGATCAATTATTAACGAGCGTACAGACTAGATCTCCTATCTGATAATCTATATGCATTCCATTAAAAAGATAACAAATGATGTTTTAAGTCACTTCTCTAACCCCAGATGATAATCTAAGAAAGAAATATCGGACTGGATTTATTTACTAGGAGGCTTCTGGCCTTTTTCAAAGCTTCTGAGATGAGACAGAAAACTTTCTGACCATGGCAGCCAGAATATTTCTCCCCTCCCAGTGACATAAGAACAGTCATAATATTGCCACAACATTTTTATGGAACTTATGGAAATTCAAACACGTAACTTGCATCTAAGATGCACCCACAGATATGACCTCACATGGAAACATCCATACAACATTTAATGAGGGCCAAGAGGGGATTCCCATAAGAATGGAGTCTCAGAAGGATCTTCCACTTGCCAAGTAAGAGACCTGGTATTTGGTGAAGACAGAGTCAAACCAAGGTCTTCTGACTTTCAGTGGGTGCCCTTACCCCCAGATCTCTTTCTCTCTCACCTCACTTCACCCACGAGGAGCTCTGAGGAGTTCCCTTATAACTTACAACGGGGAGGGGACAGGGGGCTGGGACTGGATACTGTCATCCCATGTTGGGGAGCAGGGGGGGGACTGGATACTGTAATCCCATGTTGGGGAGCAGGGGGAGGGGGCTGGATACTGTAATCCCATGTTGGGGAGCAGGGGGAGGGGGCTGGATACTGTAA